TTCCACCTCCCGCCCAGTGAGCGCCTCTCCTTAGAATAGTTTTTTACCCCGGCCCGAGACGGATTTCCACCTCCCACCCAGCGAGCGCCTCTCCTGAGAATAATATGTTAAGTCCGAACTCCGGCCGTTAGAAGTTTCCGCAAGTATGTGAAGTGACCGGTGGCGTCGGTCACTTCGTGCACCGGTCACTTCGTGAGACATCCCGTGCTGAAAGCGAGACCGCACCAGGCCCGCACCAGGGTTTTTTGGAAGTGCCGCGGCTACAATGATTTGACCGGTGGCGCCGGTCAATCGCGGTACCTGCGCGCGACGCTCGAAAATTTCGGGACAAATCACCGAAAATTTCGGCAGTTCACCGAAAATTTCGCCTCGAAACCTCGGGTGGCGCGGGCTCGGCAGGCTGGCGCGCTTGCCGTTACATAGCATGTCGCTCGGCTACCAGGACATGAAGTGAGTGAAATATCATTCACTTCATGGTCCATGACACGAAGTGAAGGAACCTTCACGAAGTGAAGGAAAGCATCCTTCATCATCCTGTGCTCCGGCTTTAGGCCGCCTCGATGTCTCGGGCCAGCTGGGTTCAGGCCCCAGGAGAAGGGGCGTGGCGTGTGATTGCCTGCGCCTGGACGCGGAACGATTGTGAGGAGGCGCGACTGCTTGCGGGGCTGCCCGACGTGCTGCTGCAGGAGCGCAGCGTGAAGTGCTAAGGTGGTGGGCCTCAATGGGTCCGCTGCGCTCCGTCGGCCGCGCTGCGCAAACGGCCAGTGATGGAGGGCGGACTGTGACCGTTGTTTGTCAGCGTCGGCCTTGGAGTCTCCTGCAAGGTCGTCCTCGCCGAAGCGGTTTCCTCCGCGGCCCAGGTCCTCGTCCATGGCCTCTGCGCGAGTGCGGAAGCTTCCTTGGAAATTGCCTGCAGGGGTGCTGCCTCTCTCTGTTATTTGTGAATTCTAAAACCGCTCACATCGCATCCTCAGAGGTTGTCATTCAGCAAATGTGGATTCTGCGAATTTTTGGTGGTTTTGCGCGGTGCGGCCACAGCCCTTCTGCTTGCACTTCTGCAAGGGTTTTCAGCTTGCTTCAATATGCAGGCAAAACGGGTCCTAGTCGCATTCTGTGCGTCTCGGAAGTTCAAGTTGCCCGGGCTTAAAGCGCTGTTTCTGGCCTTGTAAGTGCGTTTCTGTTGCGGAGCTTTGTGGCTCGAAAAGCCTGATAAGTGCTTTCTAAGCGCAACGGTGACTTAGAGCAGAAGGTTGGTTGGGTTGGAATTCTCTTGGCCTCATTTGCTGCATGTGAGCCTTGGGTCGCGTCTCCGTCAATCCTGCGCCGGAGGATTGCATTGCTGGGGTGCTGGGTAGGGCAGCGCTCGCAGATAGGCCAGCGCATTCTGGTGCCGCACGGTCACGTTGGACGGTGGCAGCTGCAGCCGCCGCACGCAGCTTGGGGGCAGTGGCTGCTGCTGCCGTGCGAAGGAACTCCGAACAGTCGTTCAACTTGCTTGCTGCGCAACCCGTAGGAGTAGGGTGGACTAGCAGGCATTTGGTGCAGAATTCCCTGAGCCTGCTGATTGGGGCTTGATAGGTCCACCTGGAAGCTACTTGGCAGAGCGACAATGCTGAGGCCAGGCGCCGCCGGGCAAGGTAGTACTCTAGCTTTCCGGAACCGAAGAAGGGCGAGTGCAGCACCGACACGTCGCCCAGCAGCAGGTCCAGGTGTGGAGCCAGCCACGGCTTACTGCCCATATACTTCAGCTGCATGCCGGCCTCGGCAAGACCGTGCCTGGCAGCAAAAAGAACGCCACCCAACTTGCCGTGGGCAGGAATTGAGCCGCGCGGAATAAGAAGCGCTTAGCTCCTTGGCCGACGCCTTAGCCACTGGACTAAGGCGTCGGCGAAAACATATGTAAACATGTTTGAAGGACCTGTCACCGGCAACATCCCGGAGGTCCTGGACAACGCAAAAAAAACTGACGGTACGCACGTCACCGCAGGGCAGCTGGCCCTCGCTCTGACGCCCTACGCTCAAGTAACAGACCTGGCCGGCCGTGAACACGGCAGCCTCCGGCAACAACGCAGCCGCCATCCAGTCCCTGAGAGCTGGCGTCGAAGCTGGACAGCAGCGCACTGGCGCCGGCCATCGCACCTCTGGCCACGGCAGCAGCCCTGGCCACCACCTCCGCGAGCCCGCTATACTGTGAGAGCCTGGACTGCACCTTCACGGCCACGAGCGGCGGAGTGTCGACGGGCAGCGTGGTGTGCGGCGACGTGACGAGCTCGGGCACGGTCTCCGCCCCGCAATTGTTTGCGTCCAACACGCTCACGTGACCAACACCTCCGACTTTTCGGGCGATCTCTTTTTGACGAAGAACTGGGCCGGCTGGAGCAAGGTGCAGATTTCCAACAACAGCGCGGCCTCCAACAGCGGCCCGGAGCTGCGGCTGCTGGGCAACCAGAGACATTCCTGGAGCGGGACGGCGGGGCGCACCAGTGCGAGCTCATCATGATCAACGACGAGGCGCTGGTGCAGACGAAGAGCCTCTCGACGCAGCTGTCCCTCACCACGAACCAGAGGAACCCCGGCTGCCTGGTGATCGCCGGCAACACGGGCAATGTGGTCTGCAACACGAGCTTCACCAACTTGTCGGACAGCCGGGTGAAGACGGAGATGGCCGAGGCCGACCTGGGGGAGCTCCTGGAGCTCTTCGACTCCGTGGAGGCCAAGCAGTACAAGCGCCCCGACATGAACGGGGACCTGAGGCTGGGCTTCGCCTTGGACGACTTTGCAGGAACAAAGTGGAAAAACCTGACGGGGACCGCCCAGTGGAGCGACGGCACAGAGATGGTGACCCTCGACTACTCGCACCTCACCAGCGTGCTCTGGGCTTCCAGGCGAGGCTGGACGCGGTGGAAGCCTGGCAGGCCCAGAGCTGTACCGACTCGCAAGGCAGCGTGACCTCGACGTGACGCAGGCCATGGCGTTCGAGGCGCTCAAGGCCGACGTGGGCCGGCAGGCGCAGGCGCCCCGGCCACGTGCCGAGGGGCCGAACGACCGGCTGCAGGCGGACCTCATCGACTTCAGCCAGAACACGCGCAAGCGGGCGGCCCGGGAGCTGGCGGGGGACGACGAGAACTTCGTGGTCACGACGGACCTGGGCAACGAGCTCGCCACGCTGGACCGGGAGCTGCCCGATGAGGCGGTGCACCGCACCAAGCGACCGGAGGACCGCAACGCCATGGCGGTGGTGGACCGGGGCATCCAGACCCTCAAGAAGGACCTGGCTACCAGGGTGGCGCGCAAGGGCGGGCAGTGGAGCAGGTCGCCTCGGCCTACAACGCGCGGCCCCACGAGACGGCGCACGGCGCCCCGGAAGACGTGGAGAAGCAGCCGGCCACAGAGTTCAGGATCCTTCAAGACAACGCTGACAAGTTCCAGCACAACAAGGACTTGACGAACCGCCGCATCAAGGCAGTGGAAGACGCGGGGGCTTTCCGAGCACCGACGAATGCGGCGAGGAGCTTCAACCCTCAGTACGGCGACGTGCAGCAGCTGCGGGCCGTGGACTCCATGACCGTCCGGAGCACGGAGGGCCGGGAGACCCTGCTGAAGCTGGCGCTGCCGGCGCCCCAGGGCAGCGGCAACGCGGCGGCGCGGCTGACGAGGCGCGGCAGGCCAGCTGCTGTGAGGCAGCTTGACGACTTCCTGGAAGAGCCTAGAAGGCCGAGGACCCTCGATTAGGTACGGTTGATAAGAGACATTCTCTTGAGCCACACATCTCAAAGCCTTTTAGGATTTGGGCTGCTCCAGCAAGACCGGCATCTTGAGCCACACTCTCGAAGCCTTTTAGGGTTTGGGCTGCATCACCCAGCAAGATTCGCATCTTGAGCCTAGCCTGCGCCGCGCAATTGGGCGGGAACCCCAAAAGAACAGCCGCAGTGCGGTTTGGGAGAATAAGACGCGCAAACCCTAGATTATTGACGGGGAGGGAACACATGCACGCGCACACAATCTCTCGCAGAAGACATGAGTGCTCACAAGATCACCGTCCAACGAAACACGCGTCGGCCTTTTGAACACGTCGGTGAACATCTGACGCCCGCTTGTGAGATATCCTGCAAGATGTCGGGGCACTCAGCTCGTGTACTACACGTCAAGTCATCCGTGCTTCCAAAGGCTGGGGCCGTCATCTGCCTCACGGACAAAACGCAAAAGGCAAGACACACCCCAGTCCCCTCCGCACGTCAAGCAACTCACAAAGCTTTGGGCATCGGACTTCCACTGTTCGTCGGGCAACGCTGGCGGCTGAGCCAGAAACAGGATTCACCTACAGCTCTTCCGCCAAAGGCCCATACTGACCATTGCGTGGCTAGGATTTGAATTCTCACAACGACTCAGGCATCTGTACTGTACATGGAGCTATAACAGCGGGTCCTGTAGCTCCTGTGTCTGCTTAGCCGCAAAGTCGCAGGCATCATGCAGCCGAGACAAACGAGTGGCTCAGCCGGTCAAAAAGAACTACTGTGGCTTCGGCGCCTCCGTGCGGCCGAAGCTCTTGTTCCTGCAGAAGCTCAGCCAGTCCTCCATGACCGTGGCGTAGTTGAGCACTCCACGGCCGGCTTGCTGGCGATCTCCCAGGTCTCCATGAAGGAGCTCCACACGAAGTCGGCCGACTCATTCCCCATGTAGGCCCCGGACACAGGCCAGGGCCGCACAACCGTGTCGCTCACCTTGCAAAACAACGCTGATCACTTTCAGAGCTTCTCCCTCTCCTTGTGGTCAACCAGAACTTCCCTCTCATGTGGCGCACGGGGTTGAGCACAAAAGCGAAATGGCCATTCGGCGACCACAAGCCTCCTATCCACTCCTCCATCCATCTCCAAATTCAATCGGGAGTTGACGCACATGATGAGACCAAATTGGGTCCCAAAGGACACCAAATCGCTGAACAGGTTCCTGGCTCGGACGACCGTTTTTTTGGAGTAGGCTTTCAAGGTGTCTGGGTGCACCCTCACGGAGGTGCTCATCTCCGGGAAGGCCAGCAAACGGGCGCCGCGGAGTTCCATGTGGGCCGGGGTGGCCTGCTGGCTGTTGAACCGGCGAGTGAGCATGTCCGATTCAGTCACGACGCTGCCGTAGGAGCCGAAGACTGCCTTGAGTTGATCGACCCACCAGGACTTCCCGTTCTTGCCGTCACCCAAGAAGATGTTGAATTCTTCCAAGCCTGTTGATCCACATAAACGGTGCGCTGCGCTCTTCAAGAGGAAGAGGGCGGTGGACATATTCTCCCAGCAGGAGTACAGCACCCGCACGGCCTCCAAGGAGGGGTGGTCAAACACCCGCAGCAGCTTGTCTTTCATCGACATACTTCGGCCCGAGCTTGCTCTCGTACTCCGCCACCTCCTGCAGGACGCCCTCCAGGTTGAGCTCGTCCAGGACTGCAAAGAGTTCCCGGGGGTAGGGGATCCCCAGGCTCTTTGTGATGACCACATCCTTGTTCGCCGGCGTGATGGTCATGTTGATCGTGTTGATCAAGAAGCCATCGCTCGTCATCACCAGTCGTCTATAGTCCTCCCCCTGTACATTCAGGCTGGAGGGAAGACCCTTCCACGTCTCCGGCAGGCACTTGAAGCCGAGTACTCCGCCAGAAGCTCATCCCGGGCTCTCCAGCTGCCATTGCCTGTTCTCTGGGCAAAAGTAGGCCGTCTCCATGTGCTGATTGGAGCAGCTGAGGACCTTGAAGCAGTCACGCACCAATCTGCCATCCTTGAGGATGCGGTGGGGCAAAATTGAAGCGACCAGACGGTCGATTCCCTCCACGCCCTTGCTCAAGTAGGCGCGGACCAGCCGCCGGTCCTGCAAAGTCACAAAGAAGCAAAAGCGACGCAAAAAAATGGACCAAAAAAAGGTTCGGGTAACCAAGGTCTGGACAAAGGTTTGGGCAAGGGTAACCCGCGCCTGCTCGACTCGAAACCAATCCTCATCTCTTGTCTCCCAATCCAGATCCGGGTGGCGCCGGCGGTACTCGCTCATGATCTCATCCAGCGACCTGTAGGGCTTGTGCTTCATAGGAAACCCGACCTTCTTTTCGAGCTACTCAACCAATGCGTCCTGCTGTTCTGGACGGCAGGCAAACGCGACTCCGTCATACTCCAGGCCACACACCCTGGCGGTGGTCGCCTCTGTCATCTTTTCCGTTGTCTCCCTCTCCTGTACATGGCTGTCGGTAAATGACGTTTCTGTGACCCCAACCCTTTGGCCGACTAGTGGTTGATTCCTACTAGTCAGGGGAAACAACACAAAAGGGCTGTTTTCGAAAACCATGCTCCTGTATCTCGTGGAGAAGCTCCAAGAGCGGGCCCTTCCAGTTGCCTCCCTGCGCCGCCAGCTCTGCGGACAGCTCCGGGTAAGCCTGCGCATCGCGCTGTGCGATCGCCCGGATCTCACGCATGAGCTCAGACACGAAGTGCGGGAGCTTCTGGAGCTGGTGCTTCTGCATGAAGGTCTCCACATGACACATGCCAGCCCCATTCAGGATGCCACCAGCCCTTCTGCTTGCACTTCTGCAAGGGTTTTCAGCTTGCTTCAATATGCAGGCAAAACGGGTCCTAGTCGCATTCTGTGCGTCTCGGAAGTTTAAGTTGCCCGGGCTTAAAGCGCTGTTTCTGGCCTTGTAAGTGCGTTTCTGTTGCGGAGCTTTTGGGGCCTGAACCCAGTGACTCTGCCTCAGTCCCAGCCGAACTCCCGGGCAAGCTCCCGCAGCTCAGGACGCCAGAGCCGCCTGCCTCCGCCGAGCTATGACCAGCTGGCCCGAGACATCAAGGCGGCCTAGACTCTCCTTCGCCGTACGAGCGAAAATGAGTGTTGCGCTACATGTAAAGAAGCATGGAGGTAGTCACAGCCGGAGCACAGGATGAGTTGATGCAGAGCCTGGACTACAAGCTGAAAACCAGCTGCCCGTCCGGACGTGCAGCGACCCGGTCGTCCAGGGACTGGATGGCAGCAGCGTTGTTGCCCGATGCTGCCGTGGTCTGCCACGTAGGGCGTCAGAGCGACGGCCAGCTGCCCTGCGGTGACGTGTGTGCCTTCCGTCACCTCTCCGTTGTCCAGGACCTCCGGGATGTTGCCGTGAAATCGATTCGGCGAGTTGGGTGGCGTTCTTTTTGCTGCCAGGCACGGTCTTGCCAAGGCCGGCGTGCAGCTGAAGTATGGGCAGTAAGTCGTGGCTGGCTCCACACCTGGACCTGCTGCTGGGCGACGTGTCGGTGCTGCACTCGCCCTTCTTCGGTTCCGGAAAGCTAGAGTACTACCTTGCCTGGCGGCCGGGCCTGGCCTCAGCATTGTCGCTCTGCCAAGTAGCTTCCAGGTGGACCTATCAAGCCCCAATCAGCAGGCTCAGGAATTCTGCACCAAATGCCTGCTGGTCCACCCTACTCCTGCGGGTTGCGCAATGCGGTGGCAAGCAAGTTGAACGACTGTTCGGAGTTCCTTCGCACGGCAGCAGCAGCCACTGCCCCCGAGCTGCGTGCGGCGGCTGCAGCTGCACGTGACCGTGCGGCGCCAGGATGCGCTGGCCTATCTGCGGCTGCCCTAACCCAGCACCCCAGCAATGCAATCCTGTTGCCGGCGCAGGATTGACGGAGACGCAACCCAAGGCTCACATGCAGCAAATGAGGCCAAGAGAATTCCAACCCAACCAACCTTCTGCTCTGAGTCACCGTTGCGCTTAGAAAGCACTTATCAGGCTAGGAGAAGGGGCGGGGCGTGTGATTGGTCTGTGCCTGGACTCTGAAGCCAGACTGTGAGGAGGCGCGGCTGCTTGCGGGGCTGCCTGAAGTGCTGCTGGCGGACCGGACGTCCTGCACGGCTGCGTCCTCGCTGCCCTGCTAAGGCCGGAAGAGCGTGTTCTCCAGCACCCAGCCCGTGCCGCGGGCCAGGCCGTAGGCTGCGCCGCCTGCGAGTCCCACAGCCAACCCTGCAGTGGCCGCTGCGCCAACTCCCGCCGTGGCAGCCATCGCTCCAGCAACCTCTCCCGCCGTGGGTGCGAGGGCTGCTGCTCCTTCTGCCCCCCCAAGTAGCCAAAGGCCCCGCCCACGCCCTCGGCGGCAACGGCTACCTCTCCCTCCTCTGCGGCCACAGCTGCCGTCTCCTCTATGGCCTGCGCTGCGCCGCGCTCCACCTCCTGCGCGCGCTGGCCCGCCTCGTCCAGGAGGAGCTCTACGTCGTCGGGTCGGCCTATGATCTGCGGCGGCGGCTGCGGCTGCGGCCCTGGGCGGGGCAATACATTCATGCGCACGTACTCAGCAGCGTCCTGGGGGAGCTGGGAGCGGAAGGCCTGCACCGCCGCGAGCCCTGCTGCTCCTGCGCCCACAAGGTCCGCTGCTGCCTGCGCTCCGTCGGCCGCGCTGCGCAGACGGCCCGTAATGGAGGGCGGGCCCTGTCCGTTGTTTGTCAGCGCGTCGGCCTCGGGGTCTCCAGCCAGGTCGTCCTCGACGAAGCGGGTTCCTCCGTAGCCCTGGTACATCCGAGCAAGTCGCACATCCTCGTCCGTGGCCTCGGCGGGAGTGCGGAAGCCTTCCTCTGGAATCGCCCTCAGGGGCGTGTGCTGCAGAGGCTGCGGGTTGGGGTCCTCGCTGGACTGCACGAAGTCGTCCAGGTAGAAGTGGCTCGTGATGAACGTGGTGGCCTTGCGGTCCGGTTGGTCCAGGGGCAGCGGCTCATTCCGCTCCAGGTAGCCCACCACCTGCTCGAAGCGCGGGCGCTGGCTGAAGCCGTGGGCCCGAAGCGTCTTCATTTTACTGTTGCGCAACTTCGCCCGCTGCGCGTTCGACGCCCCTGCGCTCGGCGCGCACGTAGCGCAGCTGAGGGGCCTGGCGGTGCACGGCCTCCGTCAGCCGGCTCACATCGTCCAGGTGCCGCTGCCCCTCTTGGGCCATCCTGCGTTCCCCTAGCCAGGCGTTGAAGGCCTGCGCCTCCTCCAGCTCTTGCTGGCGCTTCAGCAGCAGCGGCTGCAGGTCGTAGCTCGGATACGTTTTGCGAAACCACCGGAGCATCTGCGGCTCGTTGCGAGGTTCTAGGGACATCATGCTTTTACACCAGTACGCTAGCTCCCGCCGTCAGCCGGTCGTACGCCGACTGCCTCTCCAGCATGCGCACGGCGCGCTCGCTCGGCCGAGGCGCTTCTACGGGCTCGGGCCGTACCTCTCTGTGTACCTCGGGCTCGGGCTGTACCTCGGGCTCGGGCTGTACCTCGGGCTCTAACTGCGGCTCGGGCACGGGCGCTGCCTTGGGCGCAGCCTTGGGCTTGGGAGCTGCCTTGGGCTTGGGAGCTGGCGCGGCAACTGCCTTGGGCTTGGGTGCTGCCTTGGGTGCTGCCTTGGGCACGGGCGCTGCCTTGGGTGCTGCCTTGGGCGGTGCCTTGGGCGCTGCCTTGGCCACGGGTGCTGTTTTGGGTGCAGCCTTGGGAGCCGTCTTGGGCTTTGTGGGAAATCTCACCCTCTTGGGACGGAAAGGGGAGTCCGCCTCATACGCCGGCTCCGTGGGCAGGTCGTCGATCATTTTTTTTCTCCTCGCCAGGTCGTCGATCATTTTTTTGCTCTTCGGCAGGGGCAGCTCGGGCGGCTTGGGCTTGTTTTTACTACCCGGGGGCCTGCCTCTAGGCCTTGGCGCCGGTTGCGCTTGCTTCATCGGTTTTTTAATAGAAAATATTTTTTTAAAAGACCTTCGGGGGATTAGACGTGATCCAAAAACAGCACAAAGGACAACGACGAGCCCCGCAGTCGGACGACTTGGCCTTCGAGGTCTGTCAGCCGGAAGCGCAGGTGTCTCAGGGTGATGGGGCCCCTAACGGCCATGAAGTGCCCGTCATCGGAGCCGGTCTCCACGATGGTGCCCACGCCGCTCTTCAGCGTTATCTTGGACAGGATGTCGTCCCCCAGATTGCCCAGCACGCGGCTGGCGTTGGCCAGTTGGGGGCAGCGCAGGTAGACCTCGTTGTAGCAATTCATGCGCACGAACTCGAAGACCTGCTGCCCGCCGGAGACGAAGCTGGGGCCGAGCATGTGGTCGATGCTGAAGGGCTTGCTCGGAGAGGCGGCCGGCGAGGTGGGGTAGTCCACAACGTTAGGGAACTGCTGCTGCAGCTCCAGATCGTTCAGAATGAGGCGGTTGCCGTCGTAGGCTACGCTGAGGCTGTTCGTGGTCTCGCTGTAGGCGGCAGTAGCGAAGTTGGAGCTGATCCAGGCGGCCAGCCGGGAGCCCGTGTAGGCGCCTTCCGGTAGGAGAGCCCAGTTCAGCGTGCCGAGCGCGGCGTCCACGCCGCGATCCGTCGAGAGGAAGCTGTCGGCGATTCTGATCTTATAGACGGCCAGCCGGGCGTCGCTCTGCAGGTGCAGGGACTCTCCCAGGTCTACCTCGAAGTCGCTGTCGCCTGCTACCCTCTTGCGGCTGTCCACGTAGATCGTCGTCATTCTTTTCTTTAGGAAGCCACCTGTTCGGCGAACGATGGGTGGCTGGACTGCTGCAACGGAGGTGCAGCAGGAAACGTTCTCGCA